CTCCTGACGTCAGGTGATCCACCCGCCTCAGCCTCCCAAAGTGCTGGGATTGCGGTGAGCCACGGCACCCGGCCTCATTAAGGCCCTTTTTCTAAACAGGGTCACATTCACAGGTTCTGGGCGTCACAACGTTTGGGGGTTGCGGTCCTGCCCACCACACCCATCTCTGCCTGGACCGACCTCTCCCCGGCCTCGGCCCTCCCTGTCTGGGCTCCTGACCTTGGCCACTGCTTCCTCCTGGACACCAGTCAGTCACGTGGGGACCCATAAAGTGCCCTTAGGGCGAAACCTGCACTCCTCCCACCAATCACTGGGGAGTGTCTCAACCACCTGGAAAGTGGCTGGAATTCAAAGCCAAGCCTCTCAGAAAAATGCAAGAGAAAAATTCAGGATGGGGCATGGCGGCTAATGTGGGAAATCCCAGCACCCCTGGGGGACGCTGAGGCCGACCCTTGTCGCCCTGGAGTTTGAGATTGGCCTGGGCAATAAGGAGGCTCTAACTCTACCAAAAACAGAATAAAAATTAGCCCAGCGTGGTGGCTCACGGCCGCGGTCCCAGCTACTCTGTGGACGAGGTGGGAGGCTGCAGTGAGCCGTGATTGCGCCGCTGTGCTCCAGCCTGGGTGACAGAGCAAGAGTCTCAAAGCAAAATAAAATGTTTTTAAATTAAGGGCCGGGAGGCCAGGCGCGGTGGCTCACGCCTGTAATCCCAGCACTTTGGGAGGCCGAGGCGGGTGGATCACGGGGTCAAGAGATCGAGACCATCCTGGTCAACATGGTGAAACCCCGTCTCTACTAAAACTACAAAACATTAGCTGGGCATGGTGGTGCGTGCCTGTAATCCCAGCTACTCAGGAGGCTGAGGCAGGAGAATGGCTTGAACCCAGGGGACAGAGATTGCAGGGAGCTGAGATCACACCACTGCACGCCAGCCTAGGCGACAGAGCGAGACTCCATCTCAATTAAAAAAAAATAAATAATAATTAATTAATCACTGGGTAGCTCCTATTTTTATTTGCTAAATCAGGCCACCCTACGAGGGGTGGTCCTGAAAAGCCTCTCCTTGGGAAGCAGAAGGGGACTCTCGGACTAAGCAGAGCAGGGGAGTTTTTTTTTTGGGGGGGGGGGGGGGGCAGGGGGAGTCCCCGGCTGTGCCTGTGGGTCAGGAAAGGCTTTCCAGGGAAAGGACCAGAAAAACGGGGTCTTCAAGTCTTAAATCAGTCACGGGCTTTATTTTGTAAACAAAGACCAAGTTCCCAGACCTGACCTCGGGCCAGACTGGCGCCTTGCCAGGGGAGGGCTCAGGAGGGGGCGGGCATTGGGCCAGGCTCCGTGCTTGTTTACAGCCCTGGAGGGGCTTTGAAGCCAGCTGGCCCTGCTGGGCCTCATCCGCTGTCTGTCCTCATTCCGCACGTAGCTTCAGACCCCCACGGAGGACCTTCCAAGCCTGTTGCCAGGTGGGAGCTCTTTGACACTGGGCGGTTCTGAGTCCCCCATCCTTAGCCATCCCTGGGAGGGGGTCTCCCAGAGTGAAGCCCTCAGCCCCAGACCCCTTTATCACAAGTCCTGGGCCTCTGCCCCGGGCCTCTGTCCAGCATCTTCCTACCCTGGCTGGGCCCAGCCTCCTCCCTGCCCACCCTGTGCTGGCCCCTCAGTTACCCACATCACTGTAGTTCTTCTTTTTTTTTTTTTGAGATGGAGTTTCACTCTCGTGTGAAACCCCTAGGCTGGAGTGCAATGGTCTGATGTCGGCTTACGGGAACCTCTGCCTCCTGGGCTCAAGCAATTCTCCTGCCTCAGCCTCCCGAACTGCAGGCGCACGCCACCATACCCGACTGATTTTTTTTGTATTTTTAGTAGAGATGGGGTTCACCTTGTTAGCCAGGATAGTCTCCATCTCCTGGCCTCGTGATCTGCCCACCTCGGCCTCCCAAACTGCTGGGATTACAGGCGTGAGCCACCTCGCCCGGCTACCCGGTCGACGGTTTTAAGCATTTTCACAAACTGTGCAACCATCATCCCCATGGCCACTCTGAGAACAATTTCATCACCCAGAAAGCAGCCCCGTCCTGGTCAGCCATCACTCCCCTTCCCCTCCCCAGCCCCTGGCACCTATGCTTCCCCTCCCTGTCTCTGTGGATGGGCCTGTCCTGGACATTTCATAGAAATGTGATCACACACTGTGTGGCCTTTTTAAAAAAAAATTTATTTATTTAGTTTTTTGAGACGGGGTCTCACTATGTTGCCCAGGCTGGAGCGCAGTGGCTATTCACAGGCGTGATCCCACTACTGATCAGCACGGGAGTTTTGACCTGCTCTGTTTCCAACCTGGGCCGATTCACCCCTCCTTAGGCAACCTGGTGGTCCCTCACTCCCGGGAGGTCATCATATTGATGCCGAACTTAGCACGGACACCCCATCGTCACAGCGCACTACAGCCTAGAACTCCTGGGCTCAAGTGATCCTCCAGCCTCAGCCTCCCAAGTAGCTGGGCCTACAGGCACGCACCACCGCGCCCGGCCGTTTTTTTTTAAGACTGGGTTTCACCATGTTGGTCAGGCTGGTCTTGAACTCCCGACCTCAGGTGATCCGCCCGCCTTGGCCTCCAACGTGCTTGGATTACAGGCCTGAGCCACCACGCCCAGCCGGCCATTTGTTTTTTGACACAGGTCTGGCTCTGTTGCCCAGGCTGCATGCAGTAACACGATCTGGGCTCACTGTAACCGCCACCTCCTGGGATTACAGGCATCCACGATCAGAGCCGGCTAATTTTTGTATTTTTAGTAGAGACGGGGTTTCTCCACGTTGGCCAGGCCGGTCTCGAACTCCTGACCTCCCGTGATCCGCCCACCTCGGCCTCCCAAAAGCAACCACTTTATTTATATAACTATGTCCAAATGGTGGAGAGACGTTTATACAAACAAATTATTC